GTCATTTTTCTCAAAAGTTAATAGTTTTGGAGATATACGCGATTGAAAATCCGAAAAATGCGATACCTAATATGCATCTTCGCATTATCTTAAAAAAATGTGCACTATCAACATGTATGACTGTGCAAAATTTCAAATCTGTATGTATTTTGATAGCTGATATATAGAGGTGTCTATATCTTAAATGCGACACACTGTATAATAATGAATACTAGTGTTCAAGATGCATCGCGATAGATGTAAAGAAATTAATTAGAAGGACTAAAAAGAATCGTCAGAGTCTTCTGAAGTCGAATCGTTCCCAGGTTGGATAACTATTGGTGCTATTGCCGGTAAAACAGGATATTCGTTTTCTATTTTTACAACATGAGCTTCGCAATTTTTCCACACATCGCTATTAATGCCAATAATTACTTCTCGAATATTCTCAATGGCCACTGCGCTTAATGTTGGAGACTGATTATATTTTCGCAATCGTTTTTTTACGGTACCCCAAACCATTTCAATTGGATTAAAAATGCAATAGTATGGGAGTAATCGCAAAAGAGTATGGCCGTGCCTGCTGCAAATGCTGTCAGTAACGTATTCGTTTTTAAAATTCCGACTTTTGATTATTCTAATTAATTTTTTCTTTACTGGAATCTTTTTAGGAACAGTAATGTTTTTAAGTTGCATAAATTTTAAAATTTCGTCCTTTTTCGTGTTATTATTAGGTATTTTATTTAATATGCGGGAATGATACGAAGCATTATCCATAACAATCACTGAATTCGGCGGAATATTGGGCAAGAGTTGTTCAACAAACCACTTTTCAAATAAACCGGCTGTCATATCTTCGTGATAATCGGCAGAAGAGTTTGTTATATTTTTGGCCGACAATAGCAATGCATTAGATACAAAACCATCTTTGCTTCCGGCATGAAGAATAATAACACGTTTTCCTCGTGAACACGGTGTATTTAACGCACACTTGTTTGTGTTGTCAACCCAGCCGTACTTGACATCATCATGCGTATCGAACCAGGTTTCGTCTAAATAGATTATCTTTCTGTTTGAATTACGATACTGTTTTATTTTACTCAAATACTCTCGTCGAAGTTCAACAATACGCCGAGATTCCATTATTACCATTCGATTATCTAATTTCTTATATTTAAATCCACAACTTATCAAAATCTCGCGCAGTGTTTCCAAAGATGTATAATTATATTCAGGGAAATCTCTCAATTTTTCACGAATCAGTTCTAAAGTAGGCACTCTATTTTCTTTGTAAAAATTGTAAACTGTTCGCTGAATAACGTCTTTTGCAGCAATGTCAATCCTACCCAATTTTTTATTTGGTCGCTTTCGTTTTAAGGAATGATCTGTAACAGTGCCCAATTTAATAATTGTAGGTATATATCGTCTTATACCCGATTTTTGTTAATACATGAATTCTCGAACAATTGCATTATCAGCCATCCCAATATTTTCTTTTTTCAAACACTCATACATATTTAAAACTATCCTTTGGGATAGTACGTGCAAATCTTTATTTTTTTAATTCGGGGCTGTCATTAACATAATTGTCATTATTTATTGATAACACAGAAGTTGATGCATCTTGATCATTCGTATCAAATGGTTTCCAAAATGCCATCCTAGAAAAATATAATATTACTTACCTTATAATAAGCCTCCGCCTCTGATTGCTGGTTGCAAAATGAAATATTTTAGGGTGTCACTTAGCGAGACGAAACAGGTGTTCATTACGATTTATGGCTTTGCGGTTCGCTGTTGCCATAATGCATGAGTTTAAAATTAGTGAATGTAACTTTAATACCATATTAATATATTTGCAATTTTTCATGTTTCCAGGTAAGGTCAAGATCAATGAAATTTGGAAAAAAAAATAATACAATTCTTGAAACCGTTTTTGAGAACTTGAATTCTTAAAAGTTGTCTGATTTCTTAAAAGTCGATCATTATATCTATAAGAGTATTACCGCTAAATTCACCAACATGGCAACGTCGATATAGACCCAACGTCCAAATTCTCTCCAGACTACAATGTTGCCGATATTCGAAAATTACTTGAGTATAAGTAATATATACAAAGTTCACGGTTGCTTTAATTCATTAGTGAAGAGTCCATGGGAATATTAGTACCTAGTTAATTAATTTATAGATATATTTTTTGAGAATATGTTCATATTATTTTTTAAGAGTGTCGTTAGAGAATAGGGAATATTTTTTAAATATAACCTTAGGAATTTTAGGAAATATGTCTGACAACCTTGATTTGAAAGGCGGTCTCTTTGATACCAGAATGAGGCATGTTTATGTTGGAAAATTATTAGTGGATGTACTATATGGTTCAGGTGATGCTCAGTCATGCCAACAAAAGGGCTATTGTCCGATTGAATTGAAGTCTGGGAATATTGGATATGATTAATATTACAATAGAAAATAAATAAGTAAATTTTATTGCTGACCGGAAGTTATTAGTAGATTGTTAAAATTCAGATTGAGATGGAACTAAATGCAGAATTAAAATAACGTGGGATTTATTCATCAGAAAAACAAATGAAATAATGGAAGTAGATAAAAAACTTATAAAACTTTGATGTTAAACGTAAATATGTAAAGAAAATAGTTTCTTTAGTATCATTATTTTTCTGCAATATGATCAACTGGAGCAATTTTTATTAGCAAAAAAACTTTCAAGGTTACATCGTAACTCCATTATAGCATTCACTATGTCATTTTGGTTATTTTTGAGCACCTTTACTGCTTTAGATCGACTAACATTTGCCTGAGACATGACCAACTCTACATCTTTTTCCTCTACTCCAGATTCGTCAACTTCTTCATCTTCTTATTCTTGAGCTATTGGTGCCAGAGATTTGGTTGTTGTACCAGCTGCATTATCTACAGCAGGACGTTTTTGAATTTCTCAGCTGCAGCCACCTGAGCTTGTTATGAAAGATCTTCAATTTTTGCTTCACCAAATACAATGTACGTGTCACTTACAGGGTTTTTGTATACATCTGGTTTTTTTATGACAAAAGGAATATGTTTTGACTTCCTAATTGTTACCGTGTTTACTCCTTGTACAGGTTTAAGACCCAATTTGAACATGATTTTTCTTGCTTTTTTCTCTCCTCTAGACTGTTTGACCTTGAAAAATATATCCATGGGCAAACCAGCAGCGGCAGCTCCAGGGAATTGCCCATGGATATGGTTGATAAACACATATGCCTTAGACACGAAAAATGAATAGGCAAGGCTGTAACAATAATATTTTGCCTACCACAGGGGGCATTAATACGGGAGATAGAAAATTGGGGGAAAAACTATTAGGGGTGGAGATAGGACAAGCAAAATAATCGCTACTTGTGCGAACGGCACTCAGGGTTTCGTAGGAGAGCTGGGGTCGTGGATAAGTAAAAGATAAGGGCATTGGAATGGGGGAACTACAAAAAAAATGAAATAAAGGGCTCTTGGGATAAACACAATAAAAATAAACAAGAAACACCTCAAGGAATTTAATATAGGGCGCCACTTGAGGTGCCTAATTATACCTATTACAACCACTGGTTGTAACTAGGAAAATAATTAGAAAACAAATCAAAACATAAAAAACATATCTTTTTCAAATAAACTCAAAAAGGGTTAGCTCAAAAAAAATAAATAAAAAGTTAAGAAAATAAAATTCAACTTTTATTTATGTGTCACCACAAACAGTTACATGGAGAAATACAAAATTCAAAAACTTACATGTGTCATCCATTAACAAACTCCATTGCTACAAAACTTACACAATTGCATGGAGGTTAACCTTTTAAACAAAAAAAAAAACAAAACAAATCAACATCAAAAATACTAAAACGAGCTGTCATAAATTAACATTAAATTTCAAAAAAAACTAAACACAAATTGACAGCTTTACTCAAAACCTAAAATTTACAATTTTAAATGTCAACGAAAGCAATTATTATTTTATAAAAAAAATGTCTGTCTTTAGTTTAAAATTTGAACAAAATGTTACCTTAATTCACATGACACACTTAACTTTCTGAAACCATAACTGGAACCTGGAACTGAGGGCTCCACTCTCTCTGCATCACGAAAACCTCCATCTCCAAACTGCCAAAAGCCTTGGATAAAAGCAGGAACAAAAAAAACGAAGATGTCCTCCAATCCTCACTCAAAACATTAATAATTGAAGCATTTACTGCCACAAAACAGATAACAAACTGCTACATTTTCTTCATAACAAAAGACGAAAACAGAACACCTTACAAATTCGGATGAATTTGGACATAACGTTGAACCGCTGTTGAAAGCTGCTCCAACGAGAGTGAAGAAATTCTATTAAAATTGAACGCATACATACAAACGCTGACATAACAAGACACCACGAAACGACGTACATATCCTTTTGCGACGCATTAAATTGAAAAGAAATTGCCGAAGTAAAATAAATAAACAACTCTAAAATGGTTTATTTCAACTTGGCCGACCTAAGAAAGAAATGAAAAGATATTTGGGTTTAAATACGTACGAAATATTTTTAGATCTATCAAAAATATATAAGGTGATTTTAATATTTCGTATACGAGGGGACTTCAATATACTTAAAAGAATCAATGAAATTGAAAATGCTACAAGGCCAAACAAACAGGTGACGTATCAAGAACAATACCACATGGATGGACAGCATATGAAGCTCTTAAAAACGGATTTAAAGATGGCAACATATCGATTAATCTGAAACGGAAAGTCTGTGATCGGTGTGTTTTACATGTAATGACTACGGTTTGTAGAATATATTCATCTATAAATATCTTATTAATTTTTTTTCCTCCAACGATTGACATATAGTTATGAAATTAAATTCTGTAGCAGCGTTTGGATACATTTCAGAAAGAGTAGCATATACAGTTCGACAAGGTACGTTCGGATTCTTCAGTAGAATCTCCTTTAAATCTCTCAAAAATACTATTTTCTCCTCAGCATCATGATCTGGTGGACAATTGTGAGGTTTGAACTATATATCTTGGCATATTGGGTTTTCTTTTGATTTTTTGTAGTAAGTCCATTGTATTTATATCTTGGCCTTCGCCTGCTTCATCAGTACTAGTTCCTGCCTGTGGTTCTTCTCCACTACCACTTTCCATCATAGAGTAATCTTCGTTATCATCGCCTACAGTCCCATCCAATGTATCTTCTTTAAACATGTCATCACCTGGCTCATCTAGAAGGCTGGCCGACTGTTTATATGATTCGGTCTTAAAACGTAGAGATGAAGATTGAGGTGTTGCAATAGGAACAAGTTGATGAGGGGCTATGGGTTCAACTTTCGTAACAAGGGGAGGTAAGGGTTTGGTATCACTAGTTAAAGCACTCAGTATTTGTCTCTTCACATAAGGAGATGATATTGGAGCAGGAGGGTGTTGTTGTTTCTTTGGTCTAGGTAGAGAAACTGGCTTGCAATATTCTACATGTAGAATACGTTTTTCAACAGGAACTTCCACAACGTCATTATCAGTTGAGCCATTTCCATCTCCAGTGAGTCCTGTTATTTGCATGGCTTTGGCGGTCTTAATGAAGGTAGCTAAATTTTCTGTGCTAACTTGTACTAAGTTGCTAAAGATATATAGTTAATGCATTCGTATTTCACGTAAACATTAAAAACGGAAACCCGCCAATCATTTATTTACGCTGTTTGGAATATAAATCATTATGCTCTCATGTCAAAGCTGTTGTACCATCCTATGGGTCAATCCACGATATAAAAGTAAACAAACCTCACAATCATGCAGCAGATCATGCTGCTTAGGAGAGAATTAAAGGAGGTTCTACTGAAGAATCCGAACATACCTAGTCGAACTGTATATGCTACTCTTTCTAAAATGTATCCAAACGCAGCTACATAATCCAATTTCCAGAGGAAAAAGAATGAATAAGATATTCATAGATGAATATATTCTACAAATGTATTTTCCCTGTGTATCACAAATACTTTGTGCTTACTAAATATATTGTAATGACCTACGGTGCGAAAACACTGTCTCTAACAAAAAACAATGCTTTAAAACTAAGAGTAGCGCAAAGCAAGATGGAGGGTTCAATGATAAGAGTATTAACAAAAGACAAGATCACAAACGAAGACCTACGAAAAAGAACCAGAGTTACATATGTTGTGGAAAGAGCTTGCAGATTGAAATAGAGATCAGCTGGCTACATGGTAAGGATAAAGGATGGAATGTGGATACGCCAGTTAATCAAATAAAGAATGATATGTGAAAAATGACGAAAAATTGAATCCATACTGTACAATACCGTCACTTTGGATGCAAAGTCGAAATGTCCTGCAGTGGACTTAAAACAGACTGATGATTAAACTTTATTGTTTGTTGTAAACTTTATAAAAATTGTATTATGAAACAAAACTGCTAATTATTTGAGAAAATAGAGTCATCCGTTTCCTTTAGCATAACAATTTAGATAATCACTTGCAAAATTAGGACGATCACTCTGTAAGAGATAATTAACTTTTTGAATAAATAACGAGGGTACAGTGCTATCAACCAACAAAAAACTGCAAAATAGGATTTTTATTAAGAATTAGTAATAATCAAAATAAATGTATTTGTAATGTAATCGATTTAAACTTAAGGAATTGAAGAAAAAAATGATTGTTCTCATTCAAACGTGTCGGTACTTTTAAAAATAAACGCTTTCAGGACAAAACCCTCATAATGTCCGACAACCATCTTCGTGTTTGCCAGATGACATCGTAAAAACTTACTAGAAAATTGTCACCACCTATAATTTTGAATTTGTTGTCACATAATAAAATTACTATAATATATTAGGCCTACGGATAGAACATTTGTTACAGTCAGTAAACAACTGCTATTTATTTTCCTTCATATTGTCTGATTTAGTTACATACATTTTGTATAACTTACATCTTAAATATTACATCTGGAATGCGAGGGTCTAATTTAAACAGAAATAAATTATCCTAAAACGAAAAGACGATTAATTTTAACGGAGACATTTAATGGAGGTATAAAAAATATAGTAAAATTTATTAAACTGTTAACGTAATAATGGCGTGTAACAAACAAGATAAACAATATGCCTCTGTTCCCACATCCACAAGTTTCTCATAAACATTTTTACTGAGGTTTCAAACATATAACTAATGTTATATTTTTGCGGCTTCTGAATTACGTGATTGTTTTATTTAATTATTAATTTAAAAGAAATTGTTTAAACACATTTAAAACTTAGTATATAAAAAACGTTAAAGGGCAGATATTTTCTATCTACCTAATTAGCCTTCTTCGGTCCATCTTTGGGCGTAGGCCGCTCCAATCCTCTTCCATTCTTCTCTGTCTCTACAGTCATCTACAGTCTCTAAATTATAAGAATTTTGTTCCATCGGTCTTCTTTTTGTCTTATATTGTGTCCGGAAAATCTCCATTTCCATTTTGCAACTTCTTGTCTAACATTCCTCACCTTTGTTTTCTCTTTTATCCACTCGTTTCACTTTTTATCTATTAGTCTTTTGTGCAACATTCGTCTTTCCATTGCTCTTTGGGTTTTTATGATTTTGTCCATGTTTGCTTTTGTAAATGTCTGCGTTTGGGAACCATAAGTAAGAACAGATAGTACGCATTGATAATATTTTTTTGTCTTAAGGTGCTGTTAATATCTTTTGTTTTTAAGAACCTAGCTTAGTTTGCCAAATGCCGCCCATGCCAGTCTAACTCACCTTTTTATCTCTGCTGTTTGGTTTTCTTTGTTAGGTTTTATAGTCTGACCCAGATATATATATATATATAATATATATATATATATATATATATATATATATATATATATTATTGTGATATTTCAAGTCTTGGTGCGCCAAGCAATAATTAGCTAATTAATTTTTTTGATTAATTAAAATTATTTAAATGATATGATTATGACTCTATCACAATTTTTAATTCTTTTATCTCAGGGTTAAATTCGTGCTTCAATATCTATGCTATTACATGTGAAAGGTAAGGTCCAAAGAATACCGGAATAATAAAAAACACATATGATCTAACACTATATATTGAAATAAAAATAATGAAATAATTCACACTCAAAAGTTTTCAATAAACAAAATCTCATATAATAATTCTCAAAATTTTGTTCTACGTACGTGAACAATCAAAATTAATGGTACAAACAATATTAGTTGAAATCTCAAAATCCAAGTATTACTCTAAATCTCCTAATCAAAATATTTATATCCTTTCTAAATTAAGTGTAAAAAATTGTGTTATCAATGAAAGAAAAACTGCAGAAAACAAAACTATCTCTCTCTGATGATGAGTGGTCCAAATCCTTGTTATTTGTAGACTATACTATTTACTCGTGGCCGCTCCCTAAGTAATCAGCAATCTTACAATAAATTATTGCAAGTATCTCGTCCTTAATGATCTCCTTCAAATGCACGAATCGTTCAAATTATGCTAGCTTCTTCTTCTCTCAATAAACTGAATCTCTCGTTGGCCTGAGTGAAAAATGACTCTTGGAATATCTTTTCTTTACGATAAACTGAATCTCTCGTTGGCCTGAACAGTGACTCTTGGAATATAAGTAGAAAAATATGACTTACAATATTTTACTGGATCAGCTTCTGTCAGATACACTAACTACACGAAAACTCACAAACTTTCACTGCTACTGCTTCCTACCTCTGGGAAACTACCCGAGAACAACGGCCGTTCGCCTTGCACCCTTGGAAACCAACTGCCTATCTTTTCTCCCTCAAAATTCTAGCTAAACTTTCATTCCTACATACCTATCCCACCTTTTTTAATCTCCGCCAATCAAAACTCGTCACAATTCCCCATTCTTTCATTCCGATAACAAACAAATTTTTACCTATAATTATAAAATTTCCTAAAACTTATTTACAAATAATATTTTTCTATAATTCTTAAAAACTAACAAAAACATCTTTCCAAATCTCTTCTATTGTCTATAATCGCTGCGTTAATGTATTTGGAAAAACCCGGTTCAATTGTCTTTGGGATTTCACTTAAAATTATGCGGGTCACTCAAGTATAGTATAACAAAGGAAATAATTTATGCTTAGCTTACATTTTGTTTAATACAGGTAATCATATTTTCCTTCTTCGAAATGTTTGTTGGATATTATCCTAATTATCTGAATTATTTTAATGTTTTTGAATCTTGAAATATTTTAGACAAACCGATATTTTCTTGATTTTAATATCATAACAATATATATATATATATATATATATATATATATATATTATATATATATATATATATATATAATCCTGAACTTGTTCTATTTATATAAGTTTTATTTTGAGGATGCAGTCATTTAAGTAGGGCAGGATAAGTTAAACTCTTTGTTCTTAAATCAAGCTTTCGCAAAATTTATTTGCTTCATCAGGATATGCTAAAATATGTTATGGTAAATACAATGAAATTAGAATTAAAAAACATTGTATAAAACTAATATAAAAACTTACAACATGAGGTTAAACCATTAAATTATTAAATTCACAAAACATTCTTAACTTATCTAAATTATATTTTTATGTAAGTACAATATTTTAATTTTGAATATATTATGACATTGATTATTATAATGATGTTTGATTTATGTCAGAAAGACACTCGTGTCTGTTTTTGTTATTGATAACTAGCTCTAGATTGTTATTATGCTTACTTAAAAAGTGGCGCCAAATATGAATATTTAAATTTTTGAAAATATAGTATTTATAGTCAGAAAATCATATATTAGAAAATTAAAGTATTAATTTTCGTAAGATAGAATGTAATTATAGATATTGCTTAGTTTGTTAATATCAGTTTTTTTATTAACGCATTGATATTTATTTATGCATACCATTTCTAAAAATTCTCTTTTATTTAATTGATTTTCACGTCTTAATATATTAGTTTCGTTAAAATTAAATGAATGATTATTATTAATTGCATGATCTATTAATGCACACGTATTTTTATTATTTCTAAGGTCACTTTTATGTGATGTTAGTCTACCTATTAGATTTCTAGATGTATGTCCGATGTATGACTTATCACAATTTTGGCATGGTATTCTATAAACTACATTTGAGCTTTCCATAATGCTAATAGGTGATTTAGTTTTTGTATATAATGATGCTAATGTCTTAACATTTTTAGTTGCAATTTTAATATGAGAATAGTTAGCAAAGACTTTAGTTAATTTGGGTGTTAATGTTGGTATGTAAGGTAGTGATGTGAAAGTAAATTGAGATTGCATGATGTGTTGATTTGGTTCTATTGTTTGATTCATGTCAATCATTCTATTATTAGGATTGTTAAATTAAATTATTCATTTAATTTTAACGAAACTAATATATTAAGACGTGAAAATCAATTAAATAAAAGAGAATTTTTAGAAATGGTATGCATAAATAAATATCAATGCGTTAATAAAAAAACTGATATTAACACACTAAGCAATATCTATAATTACATTCTATCTTACGAAAATTAATACTTTAATTTTCTAATATATGATTTTCTGACTATAAATACTATATTTTCAAAAATTTAAATATTCATATTTGGCGCCACTTTTTACGTAAGCATAATAACAATCTAGAGCTAGTTATCAATAACAAAAACAGACACGAGAAATCAAACATGATTATAATAATCAATGTCATAATATATTCAAAATTAAAATATTGTACTTACATAAAAAGAATTAACTTGGATAAGTTAAGAATGTTTTGT